GGGGGGCGCGCATGGTGTTTACATAATGAGACACTACTTTGGTATATTATGATACGTTATTTTGTCATCATATTTGACCTCTTTGAACACGTGTAAACGAGATAACAACCAAATTTAATTTTTTGTTTTGTTTTAAATGCGTGCAAGAGATGGGTGATGCGACACTGATAAGAATAATGGACAAACATGAAGTGGACTAGGTGGGTGTACAGAGCACTTCGATGACTTTTGACACGCAATTTTAATTGTTGACTCTTCTTCAAGTAATAAGGACAATGACGGCCTTATCAAGTCTCATTGGTCCCAGCTTTTTATCGCAAGCGGACATCCCACCCGTCATAACTAAGGGCACGGTAGGCCTAGTTTGAGTTCTTGAAGCGGGAGCCCAGAAGTATCTATAGAAGAACAATCTGCAGCTGGGGACCCAACGAAGCCACTTAAGGAAGAGGCTACGTAGTATAGATGAAGCAATGTGTTGGCAGTTCTAAAGCTCAGTACACGGCACTCTGCCTTACAAGATCAGGTCTGTCTTCATACATTAACTGAGGAAAAAGGCCTTTTATACCCCCAAAGAAACATCGTATTTGTTGGAATTGGACTGGATAAAGATGTCAAGGTAGGAAAAACGTTCATAAACTAATGAATGAAAGAATGATAGCACAATTTCTGGAGAAAAAAAAATTGTTCCTGTATAAAGTATACTAAGGTATACTCAGTAATTAGATATATTGGGAAAGCAGTGCATAATTGTGTTCGCGCATGTGTGTGTGTGTGTGTGTGTGTGTGTGTGTGTGTGTGTGTGTGTGTGTGTGTGTGTGTGTGTGTGTGTGTGTGTGTGTGTGAGTCTGTGTGTGTGTATGTATTAAGGCCAATATTATAAGTTTGCTCGTGCGTTAGTAAATCATGTATTCTCGGGTCTTTTTTATATTATTAAATACTTTTGTTGCTGCTAGTGAGGGAGTATAGCGTTATGAGAAACATTATTTACTATTTCTTATTGTTCCTACTGTCGTCCTGATATGGTATGGTAATTGCAGTCGTTTAGTTGCATAGCGTTTCTGTTATAGTAGAAAGACAACGGAAAAAAGACGAAATCACTGATAGATCTTACAATTTGTCATTCCCCGACTGATATTTTATATCTCTTTAATTTTTGGCAATCGATTAACCCGAATAATGGAAGTGTCAAACACATTTGGCAATCCCAACAGGTTTGTTATCCGTGCCTGAGCGTAATACTCGATCATACAACACTAGTAAAGTTCGGTTTAAAGTGTTCATAAGAGAATAATTTTCCCTTCTTTCTGTCCCCAGTCTCAGTGCTGTGATTTCTGCTTTCTCGGCCATTGGGCTTTCGTGGGGCGTCAGAGATGATGATATAATCGACAGGCTGAACCATTGGGTCATGTACGGAATGCTACTCGGTAAGCAAAGACCACATTATGTTATGTAAAAGTCATTGCTCTCTGTGATTTTACAGTAGGGGAGCAAGAGTGAGACTCCCACCAGTTAGTCCACACGCGAACTCGCAGATGAGATGGAAAGACAGACAGACAGTGTGTGAGTGTGTGTGTGTGTGTGTGTGTGTGTGTGTGTGTGTGTGTGTGTGTGTGTGTTAGGGGGCGGGGGTTTCTAGAGAAATCTCATAGGAAACCAAGACAATTAACTAACAACAGAATACAAATAACTTCAAACAGCCTGGCTTGTGCTTTTCTAAGGACTCGGGTTTTCTCAAGAGGAAAAGAAGACTGTAGTTAGGACGATTCATCAAGTGCAACCAGTATGGTTTTAAGGGGGTTTTTTCTTATGTTTTTTACAGCATTACTTGCTCATGCGATCGATACTGAGAATTGTTGAAGGCCTTTCATGTATATATTCTTGCAGTGCTATGGCTCCGTTAGACGGGCAGTATTTGTCTTTTGTCAACAACTGCAGAGTATTACTGGGTATTCTACCCTCATTACACTCTCTACACTTCTTTACACCGTAGGGCTTTTGAGTATAGCTAGCAGGGCCTTTGATGATGGTGTTCCATATATTGGACATCCACGGTTTGGATGCAGACTGTAAATTTCTCGATCTGGCAGCTTGAAAGCCTAAGTGCCAATAGCCGTGGTCCAGACCAGTCTGGGGGGACTATAAGCTTTACTCTTTCTTCAAAAGCCGTTGGCACTAATCAGTGTGATTGGTTGAAGTAGTCTTATTTTCTTCACGTAACGCCTGCAGACGTGCTGTTTTAATAAGGCCAAGAGGCCTTTATTTCCACTTAAATAATTTGGTGTGCATTTCGTCACTCATTATACACAGAATTCCTTTCATCCAAGACGTTAATTTTGCTCCCTCGGCGTCTGTCCTGGAGATTTTATGCATTTACTTTTAGCTTGTATATGACTGTAATGACTGAATCGTTGGAACTACACGTTGCCCTAGTTCGCGTTTCATCTTGAAACTTTCTAAATTCTGTCTTTTCTCCTGGACGGCGGAATTACATGTAAACCGTTGTTGCACGACTTTGCCTCTCCCATTAAGTTTATCGATTGAATAAATTTGATTTAGCTTGAAATTTGCTTCACTGCACTCTCGGTCTCTTCGCGTGAATTGCGTTATTATTAATAGGCAACTATCTGATGCCTCAAAGCCGGGGAACACACGTTTCGCGCCCGTGAAGAAAAATCATCACGCAAAGCACGGTTTCTATTCTCTGCAACTCATTGAAGGCCAGTTTAGGGTAAAGATCTGTGACTGGAAGGATTTACGAGGGAGAGGGTGATCAACTTTTGACTACTTTTTTCCATCACGCTTAGCTGTTCTGGCAAAGAGCGGATAACGAGCTGGCGTTATAATAAGGAGTTTTAGGTGTACTAAGGACTCTTGTTTTGCTTTGTTTTGGTAAGTGTTTTACGGATGTATATATA